CTCCCTGCTCTCTCGCTCGCCTCTCCCTGCCTCTCGCTCGCCTCTCCCTGCCTCTCGCTCGCCTCTCCCTGCCTCTCCCTCGCCTCTCCTGCCTCTCCTCGCCTCTCCCTGCTCTCCTCGCCTCTCCCGCCTCTCGCTCGCCTCTCCCCGGCTCTCGCTCGCCTCTCCCTGCCTCTCCCCGGCTCTCGCTCGCCTCTCCCCCGGCTCTCGCTCGCCTCTCCTGCCTCTCCCGGCTCTCGCTCGCCTCTCCCTGCCTCTCCCTGCCTCTCGCTGCCTCTCCCTCCTCTCGCTGCCTCTCCTCGCCTCTCGCCTCTCCCTGCCTCTCCCGGCTCTCGCTCGCCTCTCCCTGCCTCTCCCTGGCTCTCGCTCGCCTCTCGCCTCTCCCTGCCTCTCGCTCGCCTCTCGCTCGCCTCTCTCCCTGCCTCTCGCTCGCCTCTCGCCGCCTCTCGCTCGCCTCTCCTCGCCTCTCGCTCGCCTCTCCCTGCCTCTCGCTCGCCTCTCCCGCCTCTCGCTCGCCTCTCGCTCGCCTCTCCCTGCCTCTCGCTCGCCTCTCTGCCTCTCGCTCGCCTCTCGCTCGCCTCTCGCTGCCTCTCGCTCGCCTCTCCCTGCCTCTCGCTCGCCTCTCCCTGCCTCTCGCTCGCCTCTCCCTGCCTCTCCTCGCCTCTCCCGCCTCTCGCTCGCCTCTCCTCTGCCTCTCTCGCCTCTCGCCTCTCCCTGCCTCTCCCTGGCCTCTCGCTCGCCTCTCTCGCCTCTCCCGCCTCTCGCTCGCCTCTCCCTGCCTCTCCTCGCCTCTCGCTCGCCTCTCCCTGCCTCTCCCCGGCTCTCGCTCGCCTCTCCTGCCTCTCGCTCGCCTCTCGCTCGCCTCTCCCTGCCTCTCGCTCGCCTCTCCTCGCCTCTCTCGCTCGCCTCTCCCTGCCTCTCGCTCGCCTCTCCCTGCCTCTCGCTCGCCTCTCCCGCCTCTCGCTCGCCTCTCGCTCGCCTCTCCCTGCCTCTCGCTCGCCTCTCCCTGCCTCTCCCTGCCTCTCGCCGCCTCTCGCTCGCCTCTCCCTCGCCTCTCCCTGCCTCTCGCTCGCCTCTCCTGCCTCTCGCTCGCCTCTCCGGCTCTCGCTCGCCTCTCCTGCCTCTCGCTCGCCTCTCCCTGCCTCTCCCTGCCTCTCGCTCGCCTCTCCCTGCTCTCGCTCGCCTCTCGCTCGCCTCTCCCTGCCTCTCCCCGGCTCTCGCTCGCCTCTCCCTCGCCTCTCCCGGCTCTCGCTCGCCTCTCCCTGCCTCTCGCTCGCCTCTCGCTCGCCTCTCCCTGCCTCTCGCTCGCCTCTCCCGGCTCTCGCTCGCCTCTCCCTGCCTCTCGCTCGCCTCTCCCTGCCTCTCGCTCGCCTCTCCCGCCTCTCGCTCGCCTCTCGCTCGCCTCTCCCTGCCTCTCGCCTCGCCTCTCCCTGCCTCTCCCTGCCTCTCCCGGCTCTCGCTCGCCTCTCCTGCCTCTCCCTGGCTCTCGCTCGCTCTCTCCTCGCCTCTCCCGGCTCTCGCTCGCCTCTCCCGCCTCTCGCTCGCCTCTCCCTGCCTCTCCCGGCTCTCGCTCGCCTCTCCCGGCTCTCGCTCGCCTCCCCTGCCTCTCCCTGCCTCTCGCTCGCCTCTCCCGGCTCTCGCTCGCCTCTCCCTGCCTCTCCCGGCTCTCGCTCGCCTCTCCCGGCCTCTCGCTCGCCTCTCCTCCGGCTCTCGCTCGCCTCTCCCCGGCTCTCGCTCGCCTCTCCCGCTCTCGCTCGCCTCTCCCTGCCTCTCCCCGGCTCTCGCTCGCCTCTCCTCGCCTCTCCCTGGCTCTCGCTCGCCTCTCCCTGCCTCTCCCCGGCTCTCGCTCGCCTCTCCTTGCCTCTCCCCGGCTCTCGCTCGCCTCTCCCTGCCTCTCCCCGGCTCTCGCTCGCCTCTCCCTGCCTCTCCCGGCTCTCGCTCGCCTCTCCCTGCCTCTCCCGCTCGCCTCTCGCTCGCCTCTCCCTGCCTCTCGCTCGCCTCTCCCTGCCTCTCCCCGGCTCTCGCTCGCCTCTCCCTGCCTCTTCCTGCCTCTCCCCGGCTCTCGCTCGCCTCTCCCTGCCTCTCGCTCGCCTCTCCCTGCCTCTCGCTCGCCTCTCCCCGGCTCTCGCTCTCGCCTCTCCCTGCCTCTTCCTGCCTCTCCCCGGCTCTCGCTCGCCTCTCCCTGCCTCTCGCTCGCCTCTCCCTGCCTCTCGCTCGCCTCTCCCTGCCTCTCGCTCGCCTCTCCCTCGCCTCTCGCTCGCCTCTCCCGGCTCTCGCTCGCCTCTCCCTGCCTCTCCCTGCCTCTCGCTCGCCTCTCCCTGCCTCTCGCTCGCCTCTCCCGGCTCTCGCTCGCCTCTCCCTGCCTCTCGCTCGCCTCTCGCTCGCCTCTCCCCGCCTCTCGCTCGCCTCTCCCTGCCTCTCGCTCGCCTCTCCCTGCCTCTCGCTCGCCTCTCCGCTCGCTCTCGCTGCCTCCCTGCCTCTCCCTGCCTCTCGCTCGCCTCTCCCTGCCTCTCGCTCGCCTCTCCCTGCCTCTCCCCGGCTCTCGCTCGCCTCTCTCCCTGCCTCTCCCTGCCTCTCCCGGCTCTCGCTCGCCTCTCCCTGCCTCTCGCTCGCCTCTCCCTGCCTCTCGCTCGCCTCTCCCGGCTCTCGCTCGCCTCTCCCTGCCTCTTCCTGCCTCTCCCGGCTCTCGCTCGCCTCTCCTGCCTCTCGCTCGCCTCTCCCTGCCTCTCGCTCGCCTCTCCTGCCTCTCGCTCGCCTCTCCCTGCCTCTCGCTCGCCTCTCCCTGCCTCTCGCTCGCCTCTCTCCCTGCCTCTCGCTCGCCTCTCCCTGCCTCTCGCTCGCCTCTCCCTGCCTCTCGCTCGCCTCTCCCGGCCTCTCGCTGCCTCTCCCTGCCTCTCCCTGCCTCTCGCTCGCCTCTCCCTGCCTCTCGCTCGCCTCTCCCCGCCTCTCGCTCGCCTCTCCCCGCCTCTCGCTCGCCTCTCCCTGCCTCTCGCTCGCCTCTCCCTGCCTCTCGCTCGCCTCTCCCTGCCTCTCGCTCGCCTCTCCCTGCCTCTCGCTCGCCTCTCCCGGCTCTCGCTGCCTCTCCCTGCCTCTCGCTCGCCTCTCCCTGCCTCTCGCTCGCCTCTCCCCGCTCTCGCTCGCCTCTCCCTGCCTCTCGCTCGCCTCTCCCTGCCTCTCGCTCGCCTCTCCCTGCCTCTCGCTCGCCTCGCTCCCGGCTCTCGCTGCTCTCTCCCTGCCTCTCGCTCGCCTCTCCCTGCCTCTCGCTCGCCTCTCCCTGCCTCTCCCCGGCTCTCGCTCGCCTCTCCCTGCCTCTCCCGGCTCTCGCTCGCCTCTCCCTGCCTCTCGCTCGCCTCTCCCTGCCTCTCGCTCGCCTCTCCCGGCTCTCGCTCGCCTCTCCCTGCCTCTCCTGCCTCTCCCGGCTCTCGCTCGCCTCTCCCTGCCTCTCGCTCGCCTCTCCCTCGCCTCTCGCTCGCCTCTCCCTGCCTCTCGCTCGCCTCTCCTGCCTCTCGCTCGCCTCTCCCTGCCTCTCGCTCGCCTCTCCCTGCCTCTCGCTCGCCTCTCCCCGGCTCTCGCTGCCTCTCCCGCCTCTCGCTCGCCTCTCCCTGCCTCTCGCTCGCCTCTCCCTGCCTCTCGCTCGCCTCTCCCTGCCTCTCGCTCGCCTCTCCCGGCTCTCGCTCTCGCCTCTCCCTGCCTCTCGCTCGCCTCTCCCTGCCTCTCGCTCGCCTCTCCCTGCCTCTCCCTGCCTCTCGCTCGCCTCTCCTGCCTCTCGCTCGCCTCTCCCCGCCTCTCGCTCGCCTCTCCCGGCTCTCGCTCGCCTCTCCCTCGCCTCTCGCTCGCCTCTCCTGCCTCTCGCTCGCCTCTCCTCGCCTCTCGCTGCCTCTCCCTGCCTCTCGCTCGCCTCTCCCGCCTCTCGCTCGCCTCTCCTCGCCTCTCCCTGCCGCTCGCTCTCTCGCCTCTCCTGCCTCTCCTCGCCTCTCGCTCGCCTCTCCCTGCCTCTCCCCGGCTCTCGCCCGCCCGGAGCTGCCTTGCTCTGAGCCAGACCCATCGTCAGCCTGTTCTTATTTTAAATAAACTACGTTTACTACACAGCATGTGTACAATGTTTTTGTTACTCAGAACGTTACTACTCATACAAATAATATTACTAATAACAATAATGACAATAAATCAGCAGCAGCAGATACATGACTTCTCTTCATGACCATGACAGAGACAGACCCTCTGCTGCTGCTGCTCCTCGTCTCCTGATTGGTTGAAGCCCGCGTCAAAGCTTCAAAAGCTCAGCTTTGCTCAGCTTCGGCGTCAAAGGGATTGTTGTGATACGCGAGCGTTTCGCGCGTCAAAAGCTTCAAGTGAGCGCGTAGTACGCGCGACTCTTGAAGCTTTTGACGCGCGTCAAGTGACGCCGGGGCTCTCGGCTTCACCTGACGCGCTTCACCATTCACTTTCAATGGAAACCTGACGCTTTTGACGCCGAAGTTAAGTCCGGTGTGAACGCCCCTTAAGAGACAGATGGTGAATGATTATAAATGTGCTACGGCAGCATTAGCATTAGCATTAGCAGCCCAGCGTACTGTAACTACAGCTCGTCTTGAACAAGGTCCTGAGGCCCAGCCCAGGATCCCAGGGTTTAGAGGCCCGGCCCGGCCCGGCCCAGCCCAGGGTCCCGAGGCCTGGCCTGATTCAGTAAACAAGACTTTGATGTCAATAAATGTTTATTCAGATGAAAACCCAAAGAGTCCACAACAACAACATGTGGATGTAAACAAAGGTCACATGACACAGAACATTAGCATCAACATAATTAGCATAACCCTGGCATTAGCATAGCCTTTTCATTAGCATAAGTGCATGTAACATTATTGAGAAACAGACGCTGGTCACATGACTAAGGGGGAAGGGGAGTGCGGTCACATGACTCGGGGTGCGGTCACATGACTCGGGGTGCGGTCACATGACTCGGGGTGCGGTCACATGACTCAGGCAGGGGGGGTGTAGTGATGGGGGGGCAGGTAGCTGACCAGGTGGGCAGGGTTGGGGGCGGGGCAGTAGAGCCGCGGGGGCGGGGCTGGCTGCGACGGCCAATGGCAGCTGTAGTAGTGGGCGGAGTGATGGTGAGGGGGCGGAGCCTCATAGGTCAGGTGTACCACAGGGGCGGAGTCTGCATACACAGGGGCAGAGCCAGAGTGATCCAATGGGGCAGCAACTGAGGAGAGAGGGAGGAGGTTAGAGGAGCAGCAGAGGAGAGAGGGAGGAGCAGAGAGAGCAGCAGAGAAGAGAGGGAGGAGCAGCAGAGAAGAGAGGGAGGAGCAGCAGAGAAGAGAGGGAGGAGCAGCAGAGAAGAGAGAGGAGCAGCAGAGAAGAGAGAGGAGCAGCAGAGAAGAGAGAGGAGCAGCAGAGAAGAGAGGGAGGAGCAGCAGAGAAGAGAGGGAGGAGCAGCAGAGAAGAGAGGGGAGCAGCAGAGAAGAGAGAGGAGCAGCAGAGAAGAGAGAGGAGCAGCAGAGAAGAGAGAGGAGCAGCAGAGAAGAGAGAGGAGCAGCAGAGAAGAGAGAGGAGCAGCAGAGAAGAGAGAGGAGCAGCAGAGGAGAGAGGAAGGAGCAGAGAAGGGGGAGGAGCAGCAGAGAAGAGAGGGAGGAGCAGCAGAGAAGAGAGGGAGGAGCAGAGAAGAGAGGGAGGAGCAGCAGAGGAGAGAGGGGGAGGCAGAGGAGAGAGGGAGCAGCAGCAGAGGAGAGAGGGGGAGGAGCAGCAGAGGAGAGAGGGGGAGGAGCAGCAGAGGAGAGAGGGGGAGGCAGAGGAGAGAGGGAGCAGCAGCAGAGGAGAGAGGGGGAGGAGCAGCAGAGGAGAGAGGGGGAGGAGCAGCAGAGGAGAGAGAGCAACAGAGAAGAGAGGAAGGAGCAGAGAAGAGAGGAAGGAGCAGAGAGAGAGAGGAAGGAGCAGAGAAGAGAGGAAGGGGCAGAGAAGAGAGGAAGGAGCAGAGAAGAGAGGAGCAGAGAAGAGAGAGGAGCAGAGGAGAGAGGGGGGAGCAGAGGAGAGAGGGGGGAGCAGAGAAGAGAGGGAGGAGCAGAGAAGAGAGGGAGGAGCAGAGAAGAGAGGGAGGAGCAGAGAAGAGAGGGAGGAGCAGAGAAGAGAGGGAGGAGCAGAGAAGAGAGGGAGGAGCAGAGAAGAGAGGGAGGAGCAGAGAAGAGAGGGAGGAGCAGAGAAGAGAGGGAGGAGCAGAGAAGAGAGGGAGGAGCAGAGAAGAGAGGGAGGAGCAGAGGAGAGAGAGAGCAGCAGAGGAGAGGGGGAGGAGCAGAGGAGAGAGGGAGGAGCAGAGGAGAGAGAGAGCAGCAGAGAAGAGAGGGAGGAGCAGAGGAGAGAGTGGGAGGAGCAGCAGAGGAGAGAGGGGGATGAGCAGAGGAGAGAGGGAGGAGCAGAGAAGAGAGGGAGCAGCAGAGGAGAGAGTGGGAGGAGCAGCAGAGGAGAGAGGGGGAGGAGCAGCAGAGGAGAGAGGGGGAGGAGCAGCAGAGGAGAGAGGGGGAGGAGCAGAGGAGAGAGGGAGGAGCAGAGGAGAGAGAGAGCAGCAGAGGAGAGAGAGAGCAGCAGAGAAGAGAGGGAGGAGCAGAGAAGAGAGGGAGGAGCAGAGAAGAGAGGGAAGAGCAGAGAAGAGAGGAGCAGAGAAGAGAGGGAGCAGCAGAGGAGAGAGTGGGAGGAGCAGCAGAGGAGAGAGTGGGAGGAGCAGCAGAGGAGAGAGGGGGAGGAGCAGCAGAGGAGAGAGGGGGAGGAGGAGCAGAGGAGAGAGGGGGAGGAGGAGCAGAGGAGAGAGGGGGAGGAGGAGCAGAGGAGAGAGGGGGAGGAGCAGAGAAGAGAGGGAGGACCAGAGGAGGAGCGAGGAGGAGCAGAGAAGAGAGGGGGAGGAGCAGAGAAGAGAGGGGGAGGAGCAGAGAAGAGAGGGAGGAGGAGCAGAGGAGCAGCAGAGGAGGAGCAGAGGAGGTTAGAGGAGGAGCAGAGGAGAGAGGGAGGAGGATCAGATGAGGTTAGAGGAGGATCAGATGAGGTTAGAGGAGGATCAGATGAGGTTAGAGGAGGATCAGATGAGGTTAGAGGAGGATCAGATGAGGTTAGAGGAGGAGCAGAGGTGGTTAGAGGAGGAGCAGAGGTGGTTAGAGGAGCAGCAGATGAGGTTAGAGGAGCAGCAGATGAGGTTAGAGGAGCAGCAGAGGAGGTTAGAGGAGGTGCAGAGGAGAGAGGGAGGAGGATCAGATGAGGTTAGAGGAGGATCAGATGAGGTTAGAGGAGGAGCAGAGGTGGTTAGAGGAGCAGCAGATGAGGTTAGAGGAGCAGCAGATGAGGTTAGAGGAGCAGCAGATGAGGTTAGAGGAGCAGCAGATGAGGTTAGAGGAGGAGCAGATGAGGTTAGAGGAGGAGCAGAGGAGGTTAGAGGAGGAGCAGATGAGGTTAGAGGAGGAGCAGATGAGGTTAGAGGAGGAGCAGATGAGGTTAGAGGAGAGCAGATGAGGAGGAGGACAGGTTGAGTAGAGGAGAGCAGAGGAGGTTAGAGGAGGAGCAGAGGAGGTTAGAGCAGGTTAGAGGAGGAGCAGAGCAGATGAGGTTAGAGGAGCAGAGCAGATGAGGTTAGAGGAGGAGCAGATGAGGTTAGAGGAGGAGCAGATGAGGTTAGAGAGGAGGAGCAGATGAGGTTAGAGGAGGAGCAGATGAGGTTAGAGGAGGAGCAGAGGAGGTTAGAGGAGGAGCAGATGAGGTTAGAGGAGGAGCAGATGAGGTTAGAGGAGGAGCAGAGGAGGGTTAAGGAGACAGATGAGGTTAGAGGAGGAGCAGAGAGGTTAGAGGAGCAGCAGGAGGTTAGAGGAGGAGCAGATGAGGTTAGAGAGGTTAGAGGAGTTAGAGAGCGAGCAGATGAGGTTAGAGGAGCAGCAGATGAGAGGTTAGAGGTTAGAGGAGAGCAGCATGAGGTTAGAGGAGAGCAGATGAGGTTAGAGGAGGAGCAGATGAGGTTAGAGGAGGAGCAGATGAGGTTAGAGGGGGAGCAGAGGAGGTTAGAGGAGGAGCAGAGGAGGTTAGAGGAGGAGCAGAGGAGGTTAGAGGAGGAGCAGAGGAGGTTAGAGGAGGAGCAGAGGTGGTTAGAGGAGGAGCAGAGGTGGTTAGAGGAGGAGCAGATGAGGTTAGAGGAGCAGCAGATGAGGTTAGAGGAGCAGAGCAGATGAGGTTAGAGGAGCAGAGCAGATGAGGTTAGAGGAGGAGCAGAGCAGATGAGGTTAGAGGAGGAGCAGAGCAGATGAGGTTAGAAGAGGAGCAGAGCAGATGAGGTTAGAGGAGGAGCAGAGCAGATGAGGTTAGAGGAGGAGCAGAGCAGATGAGGTTAGAGGAGGAGCAGAGCAGATGAGTTTAAAGGAGGAGCAGAGCAGATGAGGTTAAAGGAGGAGCAGAGCAGAGGTGGTTAGAGGAGGAGCAGAGGAGGTTAGAGGAGGAGCAGAGGAGGTTAGAGGAGGAGCAGATGAGGTTAGTGGAGGAGCAGAGGAGGTTAGAGGAGGAGCAGAGGTGGTTAGAGGAGGAGCAGAGGTGGTTAGAGGAGGAGCAGAGGTGGTTAGAGGAGGAGCAGAGGTGGTTAGAGGAGGAGCAGAGGTGGTTAGAGGAGGAGCAGAGGTGGTTAGAGGAGGAGCAGAGGTGGTTAGAGGAGGAGCAGAGGTGGTTAGAGGAGGAGCAGAGGTGGTTAGAGGAGGAGCAGAGGTGGTTAGAGGAGGAGCAGAGGAGGTTAGAGGAGGAGCAGAGGTGGTTAGAGGAGGAGCAGAGGTGGTTAGAGGAGGAGCAGAGGAGGTTAGAGGAGGAGCAGAGGAGGTTAGAGGAGGAGCAGAGGTTAGAGGAGCAGCAGATGAGGTTAGAGGAGGAGCAGATGAGGTTAGAGGAGGAGCAGAGGAGGAGCAGAGGAGGTTAGAGGAGGAGCAGAGGAGGTTAGAGGAGGAGCAGAGGAGGTTAGAGGAGGAGCAGAGGAGGTTAGAGGAGGAGCAGAGGTGGTTAGAGGAGGAGCAGAGGTGGTTAGAGGAGGAGCAGAGGTGGTTAGAGGAGGAGCAGAGGTGGTTAGAGGAGGAGCAGAGGAGGTTAGAGGAGGAGCAGAGGTGGTTAGAGGAGGAGCAGAGGTGGTTAGAGGAGGAGCAGAGGTGGTTAGAGGAGGAGCAGATGAGGTTAGAGGAGGAGCAGAGGAGGTTAGAGGAGGAGCAGAGGAGGTTAGAGGAGGAGCAGAGGAGGTTAGAGGAGGAGCAGAGGTGGTTAGAGGAGGAGCAGAGGTGGTTAGAGGAGGAGCAGAGGTGGTTAGAGGAGGAGCAGAGGTGGTTAGAGGAGGAGCAGAGGTGGTTAGAGGAGGAGCAGAGGTGGTTAGAGGAGGAGCAGAGCAGGTTAGAGGAGCAGAGCAGATGAGGTTAGAGGAGGAGCAGAGGAGGTTAGAGGAGGTTAGAGGAGGAGCAGAGCAGGTTAGAGGAGGAGCAGAGCAGATGAGGTTAGAGGAGGAGCGGAGGAGGTTAGAGGAGGAGCAGAGGTGGTTAGAGGAGGAGCAGAGGTGGTTAGAGGAGGAGCAGAGGTGGTTAGAGGAGGAGCAGATGAGGTTAGAGGAGGAGCAGAGGAGGTTAGAGGAGGTTAGAGGAGGAGCAGAGCAGGTTAGAGGAGGAGCAGAGCAGATGAGGTTAGAGGAGGAGCGGAGGAGGTTAGAGGAGGAGCAGAGGTGGTTAGAGGAGGAGCAGAGGTGGTTAGAGGAGGAGCAGAGGTGGTTAGAGGAGGAGCAGAGGTGGTTAGAGGAGCAGCAGAGGTGGTTAGAGGAGCAGCAGAGAGGTTAGAGGAGGAGCAGATGAGGTTAGAGGAGGAGCAGAGGAGGTTAGAGGAGGAGCAGAGGAGGTTAGAGGAGGAGCAGAGGAGGTTAGAGGAGGAGCAGAGGTGGTTAGAGGAGGAGCAGAGGTGGTTAGAGGAGGTTAGAGGAGGAGCAGAGCAGATGAGGTTAGAGGAGGAGCAGAGGAGGTTAGAGGAGGAGCAGAGGCGGTTAGAGGAGGAGCAGAGGAGGAGCAGAGGAGGTTAGAGGAGGAGCAGATGAGGTTAGAGGAGGAGCAGATGAGGTTAGAGGAGGAGCAGATGAGGTTAGAGGAGGAGCAGAGGAGGTTAGAGGAGGAGCAGAGGTGGTTAGAGGAGGAGCAGAGGAGGTTAGAGGAGGAGCAGAGGTGGTTAGAGGAGGAGCAGAGGTGGTTAGAGGAGGAGCAGAGGTGGTTAGAGGAGGAGCAGAGGAGGTTAGAGGAGGAGCAGAGGAGGTTAGAGGAGGAGCAGAGGAGGTTAGAGGAGGAGCAGAGGTGGTTAGAGGAGGAGCAGAGGTGGTTAGAGGAGGAGCAGAGGTTAGAGGAGCAGCAGATGAGGTTAGAGGAGGAGCAGATGAGGTTAGAGGAGGAGCAGAGGAGGTTAGAGGAGGAGCGGAGGAGGTTAGAGGAGGAGCAGAGGAGGTTAGAGGAGGAGCAGAGGAGGTTAGAGGAGGAGCAGAGGAGGTTAGAGGAGGAGCAGAGGAGGTTAGAGGAAGAGCAGAGCAGGTTAGAGGAGGAGCAGAGGAGGTTAGAGGAGGTTAGAGGAGGAGCAGAGGAGGTTAGAGGAGGAGCAGAGGAGGTTAGAGGAGGAGCAGAGGAGAGAGGGAGGAGGTTAGAGGAGGAGCAGAGGGCCTCACCTCCATGGTCCTCCTCTGGTCGCAGGATTCCCTCCTGGTACACGGCTGGTGGAGGGGGGGGCACTCTGGGCTCAGGGTATAGCTGAGGGGGGGCTGTGGGGGAGAGAGGTCATGTGATCAGAGGGGGAGACCGACAGGGAGGAGAGAGGGAGGGGGAGACCGACAGGGAGGAGAGAGGGAGGGGGAGACCGACAGGGAGGAGAGAGGGAGGGGGAGACCGACAGGGAGGAGAGAGGGAGGAGGAGACCGACAGGGAGGAGAGAGGGAGGAGGAGACCGACAGGGAGGAGAGAGGGAGGGGGAGACCGACAGGGAGGAGAGGGAGGGGGAGACCGACAGGGAGGAGAGAGGGAGGAGGAGACCGACAGGGAGGAGAGAGGGAGGAGGAGACCGACAGGGAGGAGAGAGGGAGGAGGAGACCGACAGGGAGGAGAGAGGGAGGGGGAGACCGACAGGGAGGAGAGAGGGAGGGGGAGACCGACAGGGAGGAGAGAGGGAGGAGGAGACCGACAGGGAGGAGAGAGGGAGGAGGAGACCGACAGGGAGGAGAGAGGGAGGAGGAGGACCGACAGGGAGGAAGAAGAGGGAGGAGGAGACCGACAGGGAGGAGAGAGGGAGGGGAGACCGACAGGGAGGAGAGAGGGAGGGGGAGACCGACAGGGAGGAGAGAGGGAGGAGGAGACCGACAGGGAGGAGAGAGGGAGGGGAGACCGACAGGGAGGAGAGAGGGAGGAGGAGACCGACAGGGAGGAGAGAGGGGGAGGAGACCGACAGGGAGGAGAGAGGGGGGAGGAGACCGACAGGGAGGAGAGAGGGAGGAGGAGACCGACAGGGAGGAGAGAGGGAGGAGGAGACCGACAGGAGGAGAGAGGAGGAGACCGACAGGGAGGAGAGAGGGGGGAGGAGACCGACAGGGAGGAGAGAGGGAGGGGGAGACCGACAGGGAGGAGAGAGGGAGGAGGAGACCGACAGGGAGGAGAGAGGGAGGGGGAGACCGACAGGGAGGAGAGAGGGAGGGGGAGACCGACAGGGAGGAGAGAGGGAGGAGGAGACCGACAGGGAGGAGAGAGGGAGGAGGAGACCGACAGGGAGGAGAGAGGGGGGAGGAGAGACCGACAGGGAGGAGAGAGGGGGGAGGAGACCGACAGGGAGGAGAGAGGGAGGAGGAGACCGACAGGGAGGAGAGAGGGAGGAGGAGACCGACAGGGAGGAGAGAGGGAGGAGGAGACCGACAGGGAGGAGAGAGGGAGGAGGAGACCGACAGGGAGGAGAGAGGGAGGAGGAGACCGACAGGGAGGAGAGAGGGAGGAGGAGACCGACAGGGAGGAGAGAGGGAGGAGGAGACCGACAGGGAGGAGAGAGGGAGGAGGAGACCGACAGGGAGGAGAGAGGGAGGAGGAGACCGACAGGGAGGAGAGAGGGAGGAGGAGACCGACAGGGAGGAGAGAGGGAGGGGGAGACCGACAGGGAGGAGAGAGGGAGGGGAGACCGACAGGGAGGAGAGAGGGAGGAGGAGACCGACAGGGAGGAGAGAGGGAGGAGGGGACCGACAGGGAGGAGAGAGGGAGGGGGAGACCGACAGGGAGGAGAGAGGGGGGGGAGACCGACAGGAGGAGAGAGGGAGGAGGAGACCGACAGGGAGGAGAGAGAGGGGGGGGAGGAGGACCGACAGGGAGGAGAGAGGGGGGAGGAGACCGACAGGGAGGAGAGAGGGGGGAGGAGACCGACAGGGAGGAGAGAGGGAGGAGGAGACCGACAGGGAGGAGAGACCGAAGGGAGGAGGAGACCGACAGGGAGGAGAGAGGGGGGAGGAGACCGACAGGGAGGAGAGAGGGGGAGGAGACCGACAGGGAGGAGAGAGGGAGGAGGAGACCGACAGGGAGGAGAGAGGGAGGAGGAGACCGACAGGGAGGAGAGAGGGAGGAGGAGACCGACAGGGAGGAGAGAGGGGGGAGGAGACCGACAGGGAGGAGAGAGGGGAGGAGGAGACCGACAGGGAGGAGAGAGGGAGGAGGAGACCGACAGGGAGGAGAGAGGGAGGAGGAGACCGACAGGGAGGAGAGAGGGAGGAGGAGACCGACAGGGAGGAGAGAGGGAGGAGGAGACCGACAGGGAGGAGAGAGGGAGGAGGAGACCGACAGGGAGGAGAGAGGGAGGAGGAGACCGACAGGGAGGAGAGAGGGAGGAGGAGACCGACAGGGAGGAGAGAGGGAGGAGGAGACCGACAGGGAGGAGAGAGGGAGGAGGAGACCGACAGGGAGGAGAGAGGGAGGAGGAGACCGACAGGGAGGAGAGAGGGAGGAGGAGACCGACAGGGAGGAGAGAGGGAGGAGGAGACCGACAGGGAGGAGAGAGGGAGGAGGAGACCGACAGGGAGGAGAGAGGGAGGAGGAGACCGACAGGGAGGAGAGAGGGAGGAGGAGACCGACAGGGAGGAGAGAGGGAGGAGGAGACCGACAGGGAGGAGAGAGGGGGAGGAGACCGACAGGGAGGAGAGAGGGGGGAGGAGACCGACAGGGAGGAGAGAGGGAGGAGGAGACCGACAGGGAGGAGAGAGGGGGAGGAGACCGACAGGGAGGAGGGAGGGAGGGGGAGACCGACAGGGAGGAGAGAGGGAGGAGGAGACCGACAGGGAGGAGAGAGGGAGGAGGAGACCGACAGGGAGGAGAGAGGGAGGAGGAGACCGACAGGGAGGAGAGAGGGAGGAGGAGACCGACAGGGAGGAGAGAGGGAGGAGGAGACCGACAGGGAGGAGAGAGGGAGGAGGAGACCGACAGGGAGGAGAGAGGGAGGAGGAGACCGACAGGGAGGAGAGAGGGAGGAGGAGACCGACAGGGAGGAGAGAGGGAGGAGGAGACCGACAGGGAGGAGAGAGGGAGGAGGAGACCGACAGGGAGGAGAGAGGGAGGAGGAGACCGACAGGGAGGAGAGAGGGAGGAGGAGACCGACAGGGAGGAGAGAGGGAGGAGGAGACCGACAGGGAGGAGAGAGGGAGGAGGAGACCGACAGGGAGGAGAGAGGGAGGAGGAGACCGACAGGGAGGAGAGAGGGAGGAGGAGACCGACAGGGAGGAGAGAGGGAGGGGGAGACCGACAGGGAGGAGAGAGGGAGGGGGAGACCGACAGGGAGGAGGGAGGGAGGGGGAGACCGACAGGGAGGAGAGAGGGAGGGGGAGACCGACAGGGAGGAGGGAGGGAGGGGGAGACCGACAGGGAGGAGAGGGGGGAGGAGACCGAGGAGAGAGGGAGGGGGAGACCGACAGGGAGGAGAGAGGGAGGGGAGACCGACAGGGAGGAGAGAGGGAGGGGGAGACCGACAGGGAGGAGAGAGGGAGGAGGAGACCGAGGAGAGAGGGAGGGGGAGACCGACAGGGAGGAGAGAGGGAGGGGAGACCGACAGGGAGGAGAGAGGGAGGGGGAGACCGACAGGGAGGAGAGAGGGAGGAGGGGAGACCGACAGGGAGGAGAGAGGGAGGGGGAGACCGACAGGGAGGAGAGAGGGAGGAGGAGACCGAGGAGAGAGGGAGGGAGGACCGACAGGGAGGAGGGAGGGAGGGGGAGACCGACAGGGAGGAGGGAGGGAGGGGGAGACCGACAGGGAGGAGGGAGGGAGGGGGAGACCGACAGGGAGGAGAGAGGGAGGAGGAGACCGAGGGAGGAGAGGGAGGAGGAGACCGACAGGGAGGAGGGAGGGAGGAGGAGACCGACAGGGAGGAGGGAGGGAGGGGGAGACCGACAGGGAGGAGGAGGGAGGGGGAGACCGACAGGGAGGAGGAGAGGGAGGGGGAGACCGACAGGGAGGAGGGAGGGAGGGGGAGACCGACAGGGAGGAGAGAGGGAGGAGGAGACCGACAGGGAGGAGGAGACCGACAGGGAGGAGAGAGGGAGGGGGAGACCGACAGGGAGGAGAGAGGGAGGGGGAGACCGACAGGGAGGAGGGGAGGGAGGGGGAGACCGACAGGGAGGAGAGAGGGAGGAGGAGACCGACAGGGAGGAGAGAGGGAGGAGGAGACCGACAGGGAGGAGAGAGGGAGGGGGGAGACCGACAGGGAGGAGAGAGGGAGGAGAGAGGGAGGGGGAGACCGACAGGGAGGAGAGACCGACAGGGAGGAGAGAGGGGGAGGAGACCGACAGGGAGGAGAGAGGGAGGGGGAGACCGACAGGGAGGAGAGAGGGGGGAGGAGACCGACAGGGAGGAGAGAGGGGGGAGGAGACCGACAGGGAGGAGAGAGGGAGGGGGAGACCGACAGGGAGGAGAGAGGGGGAGGAGACCGACAGGGAGGAGAGAGGGGGGAGGAGACCGACAGGGAGGAGAGAG